TGATTTCGCTTCGAAAGCAACTCGACAATTGTATATTTATGAGTTCACTATTTTGCCGGATTGAATTTTGCTGTAATTCAATTCTGGATGTACGCAAACCTGATTGTATCGAGGGACATGAGGCAAATCAAGGTTAACTCAATAAAATTAGTTTGCAAGACAATGGGTAGCCCTTTCTAAATAGAATTATTACTCGTCGTTTTTTTTTCCAAATATGTTTAATTTCTTGATGTGTAGGCAAAAAATAAAAATCTACCGTTTGGCAACACGTAAAATTACAAACAATAAAAAACAAAGCATTTTTATATACCCATATATACTGCATTAATAAAGTTAAATAACAAATATAAGAAGGAAATTATAAAAACACAAGACCTAATTAAAATGAAAACAGATCACATAACACATTACATAAATACTAAAAGTACACCCAATTCCGATAATTTAGCTTCAAAATTTATTTCGGTATACGATAATGTGCAAAGCTGAATTGTTTTATAAATGACCGGTCATCGTTATCAGTGCGGACGTCCTGCGCCATGAACTATCAAGCATCTTATCGTATGAAGAGGAAGCAGTCATTGTTTTTATTTGTGTTAGTCCCCGACCCACGCGTTACGATTCATTTCTAGAATCCCTTTTTGGTTGCGAATAAAGTTAATTTCGTTATGATCGAGTGCGAACGCGATTTCGGATTGTGCAAATAAAATTTGACCGTTTAAGTGATTTGGTTATATTTTGTGGATAGTGTTTGTGTTTCAGTTCATATTTTAGAGAGACATAATATTTTCATATAATTTGTTAATTAAAGTGTATAGTTGTTACTAGTCCTGCTTAAATACGTAAGTTCTTGAAGATCTATAAGCTTAACATGTGAAAGGGGATATTTATCATGTTGTTAAGGTTCTGGTATTTCGGCAAAATTTTTAAACGTAAAGTCCTTACGGATGTCAAGAATATACGAGAAAAAAAATGGGTTTTCATTAAAAAAAACAGTTTTTGTCAATGCTGAGATTTCTTTTGCCGTATTGGTAGTAAGCAGTAATTTTTTGAATAAAATATTTTGAATTTTAACTTTTTATGTTCATTTTCTATTACTATTACTAACATCAATAGTAAATATAAACAAGCTATAATAACCATGGTAAATTTCCCAATTGATGTCATAAATTTAGTGACAATGAAAGCCTAAATACTTCAAGTTTAAAAGCTTATAAGTTTATTTCGTTAGCAAGCAATTTATGTGCAAATAAGAGAAATCCAATGACTTAATGCATTTCTGATTAAGCTTAAGAGCTATGAAATCTATGTATATAACGGCTGTCTACGGATCGTGGTAGTGCGATTCGGGAAAAAATCATGTTAACGAGCTATTGTATTGCTTATTTGGACTTTCGTGAAGGGGTCTGCTGGTGTTCTTAATTATTTCATTGAGAAAGTTTTGGTTACTCGAATATATTTATACGCATTGTAATACTAATTAGTTATACTTGCATCGCTCGGGGGCGTCACTAAGTGTCTTTTGCATTTATATATTGGTAGCGCCACTTTTTGGCAAATGTTTTTACTAACAGTAGCGTATATATTATTCCAGGTTATTGTCTATCTGTGTATTGAATTTCATACAAATTAGTTCAGTCGATTCAGCGTGAATAAGTAACAAACATACAAACAAACTTTTGCATTTACATTACTAATGTTATTATTTTCGTGTTCTTTTATGTTTTGATTTAACATTTTAATTTAAGTTTATAAATAATTTTAAAATGTCATAGTTAACACGTAAAATTAATGGTCAAAAATAAAAACGTTGGTCTCATATAAATCGCGTGTACATAATACGAGAAGTTAAATTTAAACTTATTTAAAATAGCAGAGCTATGACGTAAATGTAACGTCGTATGAACTTTTACCTTATAAAGGGTCAAACATTTAATCGATTGATTTTTTTTAAAATTGTATGATACATACATTCTAGAAAATTCATTCGCATACAATTTGCATACTCAATTACTGGCTGTAACGAGGTACATTTTAAACTAATTTTATTTCCATCGAGTCCTTTGACTGTACCCTCTTTATATGTTTGCCTTAAATTAAAAAGTTTTCACTCAAGAACACTCCGAACGGTTTATTCCTTGATACTTTTTCTTTAATGGCCTCATACGATTAGATTCTAGCCTCTGGATTAAAGGAATTTAAGAACGCTGCCTCGCTTCTGGGATAAGCTTTTATTAACTTGGTAATGAGATATTTTTTGAGAGCTTCGGTACTTATAAAGAATCTGAATGGTATTAAGTCGAAGCTTTTATGTTGATGGCATTATCATAATTTTATAAATCCAACATCTAACTTGACCTCGATTTTAATAGAATCATTATTTTCTAAAACAAACACATATCAGGATTATATATTGTATTTATCAATGGACTAGCGACTCATTTTCGCTTTGCTCGGGTTCGTCTCTAAGTACGTTTTAACTGGTAGTATGGAATAGATAGACTATATATATGTATGATGTTTTATGTTGTCAGCCTATGTCACTCTCCAGCCCTCCAACTACCTCCACATATAAAATCACGCCAAACCGTCACTCTCTTTTGACGTAAAAGAAGGACAAACAGACAAACACACTTTCCCATTTATAAGATTATATATGGATTTAAGGAAAGAGAAACTAATCTATCGTTTCTATAAGTACCTATTACTAATCATATGCTAGTGCTTGATCAACTTGTATGATATTGTTAATAGCAAAGTTATTTATAACAGCATAATTTTCGTTATCTAACGAATAAATTTTCTTTGAATATTAGAACACGCTGTATAATTGCGAAATTCAGACTTATCACCGTGGAGCAAGTAAAATAACCGATATTAAAGCTATCAGTCCCCTGTGGCTGAAAAGTAAAATATTATACGAGTGATGCCGCGGGCTCTCCCTTGTTTACATTTGAATCTCCTCGTATTGTATCGTCTCTTTGTCATACAATGAAGCCTTATTTAGTCTTAATTACGCTTATGTTTTCTATTTGCGTTTTTTTGTGGCTTCCTTTTTATCGCTTGTTTTCATCATTTTTATTGGTGTATTATCGTGTTGTGACTTCGATCTTGTTGAATCGGTAACGGTTGGTTATCTATTTTGAAAGACTTTTGAGCCTTTGTTATTTTTGTGAGAAGGTCGGGTATTTTTATCATTTATTTGCTTAACTAGTGATTTACCCTCGGTTTCTTCGGGTTGGTGCGTGATACCTTTTGCGACTTCATATAAAATCATCGATTTTTTTTATTTATAAGATATATAACATGTACACATCGCTTACTATAAATAAAGAGGCAAACTTATTATTCAAGTCTATTATAATTTTATATGTGAACTAGTGACTCACCCTCGCTTCGCTCGGGTTCGTCCCAGGCTTGTTTCCCCATACAAACTTTCATCCCCATTTTCACCCCCTTAAGGGATGATTTCCGGGATAAAAAGTATCCTATGTCCTTCCCAGAGTCTCAAACTATCTTCTTACCAAATTTTATCTAAATTGGTTTTGTAAATCCAAAGATTACCCCCTACAACGTCACAAACTCACAAACTTTACCTCTATAATATTAGTATAGATAGATTAAAAAAAATTGCATACCATACTTAGATCTATTAAACACATAGACGTTACTATTTTGGCAAATGATAAGAGCCATCTATTGGAAAATTTTATTAATAAAAGTAACCTATGTGTTATTCCAGGATATCTGTTAACTTAATATCATCCAAATCCGTCTAACTGTTACAGTAAAGAAATACTGAACTCTCGCATTAGTATTCCAACTATTGAAAACAAAATTATTTAAAATTACCATAAGCAAAAATGAAAATTTGACAAAATTTAAATGATCACCTCTGGACCGAACCTTTGACTAATAGATAATTACACTGTGGCATAAAATAAGTTACATAATATGTTAGCATAGTCATCATATTTTTACATCTTTTAATTTAAAATATCTGTATTTATTATAATGAATTAAAACAAATGAATTAAAGAGGCAATTATAATGTGTTAAATAATAATTATTTATTAATTTGATTTATATAAATACGTTGGCATTGATGGCAACATTCTTTTTTTGATTATTATAAATGTATGTGACACAACCGTCATATTGACAGGGTGTGAGAGTACGAGTAATGATCCGGTGTGCTATTTCATTATTGTAAATTTATATTTTTTTAATACATTAATAAACAAATGTAATAATTGGGTATTTCATTTAAAGTAATATGGCAATACATATTATGTTATCTCTCTCTAGTCCAATACGATAATTCTATATACATATGTATATAATATTCATGATTGTCATATTTTGTATACAAAACAAACGAAAAATAAACTTAAAAATATTCTTTTTGTTCCTTTTATTGTTATCCCCTTACAGTCTATCGCTTGTTTTTCGTTTGATGTTGTTTTCGCGACGTATTAACTCTCGTTCGGTTATATTTGTTTAGATCTCACGTGAAAGGCTGACATTATTTTCCTGCTATTAAATTGATGCTTCATGGTTTTTTACATACTTTTATGAATATTTATGAAAAATATTTAAGTATCTATTCTTTATATATAATTTCAGTGTGTGTTTGTTCGTAATTCTTCTTCCACAGTAGGGTTATCTGGATAGTTTATAGATATAGTTGGACCCGGCAGTTGGTGCTGCTGTCGAGATCTAGACTCAACCTCAAATTGAACATATCGGCTATTAAATAAACATATACTATATTGTTTGGTACGTTAGATTCGAATTAATTGTAGGACAGACCTACAAGTAAATCAGCCAGATTTTTATGTTTATGTTTTTTAATTATATTTTCCTTTAATATTTGTAAATAGTTCACTATTATTATTACGAAAGTACCCTACCTTAGATAAGTCGCTAGTAGAAGATAATACTACTTTCAGTTAACAACGTTTTTATCAATTATCAATCATTCAATACTTCACTTACAGGCCTGGGCCGGCTACACCCATACGGCTCGGGCAGCGGTTCGAGCAGCGGTAGCGGGCGGCGTCGCACGCGCCGTGGCCTCTCCGACTCGCCGACCGCCCCCACCACCCCTACGTCGGCATCGGACAACGCTTCTGACGCCACTCTCACAGACTCAGAGCTACCACTAGCCAGAGATTCTACGTTGCTCGTTCAGAACGGTATGTGCGAATTGCTATACATATAGTTAACTAGCGATTTGGGTTGATTCCCCATACAAACTTTCATCCCCATTTTCACCCCCTTAAGGGATGATCTCCGAATAAAAATATCCTATGTCCTTTCCAGTGTCTCAAACTATCTTCTTTTCAAATTTCATCTAAATCGATTCAGTACTTTATGAGTTTATTCGTTACAAACATACAAAAATACAAATCATTCCTCTTTTTGATATTAGTGTAGATATACCAGTCTAATAATCCATATAATCGTTTAACGAATGCTGAGTGTTGAGACAGGTGAGGCGCTTCCAGCTATCATTCGCACTTTTATATGTCAGTCGGGAGATGGATATATTCACGTGTAGAACTAAAGTCTAAATGGGTCTACGTGACATTGGCGAAGTAATCTGCAACTGGCACGCTTTAAAGCCATTAACAAGAAAATTGAATCGAATTGAACTATATGCGTTTTAACTTCAAAACCGTTTGCCATGAAAACTTGTATTTTTAATAATTAATGCGTCTGGTGGAATTTTTCGTTAAAGAATCGCGTACTGTATGTTTGTTTTTTACGTTGGTAGGAACTACTCGACATATACTTTAGATATACTCAGGTGTAAAGGAGCTATTAAAGTGTGATGCACGACTCGCACTTTACCTACCCATAGTACGTTCATCCTACAGCCTTGTTAGTAACTTGTAAGTTTAAAAACTTTAATGTGGAATTTGTAACTCCACTAGTTTTGAATATCCAATATTGTCTTTTAATATTCTTATATTTGTTTACTTACATATTCGTTTCCAATACTTATCTTTCTGTTAAATAGCATAACTATATATGTACTTTTAGAACACAATATTTATCTATATATATATATATATATATATATATATATATATATATATATATATATATATATATATATATATATATTTCTAGTTCTGAGTCCAATTAAATATTTTATTAGAAAATCTTATTGAAATAAACGCTATTATTCATACAGAGGACGAATCTATATTTTTTTGATTTTTGTCAATCTGTTTGTCTGTCTGGGAACGCATCACGAGAGAACCACTGGACAGATTTTAATGTTTAATATGATGATAGCTGGTTATCCGGGTCAACATATAGGATACTTTTTACTGAGGAAAAATATCTCATCTCTAAAAATTTATACTAAACCTTAAAACGTAACTAGGGACGAATCCGAGCGGACTGAGTGTGAGTCGCTAGTTTTAATATATACGATTTAATATGTGCTTATATGAAGGATAGCAAATAGCCAAAGTATTATTAATTAAAGGGGAAGGCTTTATCACACCACTTACTCAAATTAACGCATGAGCCAACATTAAGTCCATGGATGTGGGACACTTAAATTAAAGATTAAACACCACTTAAATTATACGTAGACAAATTATCTAAATTTTGGAGTAACAAAACATTGTTGGAATAAATTCGCCCTAAACAAAAGGGTTGAGAACAGACCACGGTACGGCAAACGTCACACGACAAATAAAATCTACGATAGTTTAAATTGGGTGGTCCCAAAAACTGTGTAAACAAACACAGGGTCTCGAATTTCGGTGGGAAAGTTTCGGGACCACCGGGAAAACATTGGAAACACGCGGATCGAAAATATAGATAGTTAGGTGCTTAGTGAACTAGATCTGGCAGTTAGTATTGTTAGGATAGTTGTAATTGTCAAGGTAATTTACGTTTCCAGTACAAATACGAAGGAAAACTAAACTTTAGTTGTTTTTTGGATATAAAATGTCACTGGACTCTGCACGATTTATAGATTACGCTGTTCTGTATAGTTTTTAAAAATTTCTTCGTATGTGAGACAATTTCATAATAATGATTAGTTAGAAATTTATCAATTTCAAAAGAATATTCATTCCCAAATATAGAAACTAAGTATTTATACCTTCTTTCTAAGTTGTTTTTTTTTTAATTGGATTCAACATTATAATATTTGTTTAAATAACACAATATATTCAATGATTTTACTAATTATAATTCCATTCATTAATTATTATTATCAATCATTCAAACCAAAGTTATCTGATGAAGTTCGAGTTCTTACTACCAGAACTGGCATATGATCGACAAATTCTTGCTCACAATCGATTTCGACTCGATCGACCGAGCGGACCGCCTGCACGAATTTCAATTTAATTGCATTTAACGAAATCTCGGACTAATATAGGATCCGACTGTGGACAAATTTAAAGCGAAACTCCGATGGGTTTACTATTCGATTTCCATGGAATACGACATAAAAACCCATTACGTAAGCTTTAGAGAGGCCTCTGTATCACCATGCTTTTCTAAAATCAGAGGCTTTTAGTTATACTGGAAGAGATAGGTACGTCAAGTTTATACGTTAAGTATAAATTTTTACGTTTATATTGTAACTATTATACAAAGTTTTCCCGCGGTTTTAATTTAACCCATAGTATATCGATAAAATAAAAATATTTTATAGTGAATGAATTAAAAAATTAGTCTTATAAAACTTAAAAAAAAAACAATTTTTCCAACTGTATTTATTGGCACACGTCAAAATCAATCGAAACTCGAAGGTTTGAGGTTACGCGATGGTCTTCGCCAAATGAGAATCGATTTTCGTAGTTTTTTTTTGTAATGAAAAAGTTATATCACAAATATAGGACCGTGTCAATAAAAATAGGCCCAAAGTTCACTTAAATGTAATTATTCCATAATTGCATTTAAGGGAACTTGAAGTCAGTGTGTTTAAAAAAAATAAGCTGTATATTTGGACATAAAAAACATAAAAAAATAATATAGACTATCTTTTTAGGGCTACAGAATGGTAAAGTCATCATTATAATAAAATTCTAACTGAGTCGAATCTGTACATTAAGTATTTTTCTGGAAAATCTTATTGAAATAGTCATTATTATAGATAAAGAGCCCGAATCTATAGTTTTTAGAATGTTTGTCTGTCTGTCTGGGAACGCATCACGAGAAAACCACTGGATAGATTTTGATGAAATTAGATATGATGATATCTGGATGTCCGGGTAAACGTATAGGATACTTTTTACTGCAGGAAAATATCTCATCCATGAGAAATCTATACTAAACGTTAAAACATTACGAAGGACGAACCCGAGCGTAGCGAGGGTAAGTCTCTAGTGTGCTATAAATATAGTATGTTTTATATTATAGTCCAATTTAATACATATGAATAGAATTGTTTGCCGTACTTTATAAGGAAATTAACCTCTTAGTTTATTTCGAATTCATACGGCAACATTAAAAAAGTAATAAAATGAGTCTTGCATGCGATTATTGCATAATCCAGTTAAAGTTATTACAAAACCTTGATGGATATATCATATAACCAATATACATACATATATAATAAAATTGCAGGACAAAATTGTAAAGTGAATATTATTGTAAAGTTCGTATTTACGGAATATTTTAAATTTTATTGAAAGCATATCGCGATAGAGTTCTAAATAAACGTGAGCAAAACCACATACTAAAGTATGTACTTATACTATAGTTAAATATAAAATCTTTTTGCTAAATAAACAACTGTAAAGAAACTTAAATGAAAAATCGAAAATTTGGACTGTGAGTATGTTTGATACTTCTTCACGCGGAAACGGCTGAACTTGTTTGGATGAAAACTAGTACACGATAGCTTAGCTAGTTTATGATCTGTAGCAACACATCCCATACTAGAAAAATGATTGACCCCCCATACAAACTTTCATCCCCTTTTCATTCCCTTAAGGGATGATTACCGGATTAAAAACCATCTTATATCCATCCCAGGGTAACAAACTATCTTCATACCATATATCATCTAAATCGGTTCAGCGGATTTTTAGTTTATACATAACAAACAAACATACAAAAAACCTTTTTTTTTCTCTTTATATTATAAGTATAGACAAATACCAAAGTCATTATTATTACATACAATATTAAAGACATTCTTCTAGTTTATATTGTATCTAGGTTTCGCCTTAATGCGATTCCGTAGCAATCACATGCTTCATTTTGCATTCCCGCAAACACTTTTACCGACGTCCCATACCCCCGTAAAACGGTTTCATGTACTTTAATTTTTTACTTTGAACTCTTAAAACGTCTTATTAACAAGCATTTAACTATTACACTATTACTTTAATGTCTGTCTGGTAGTTGATGGAACTACGTGTTAGGACAAAGGTTTGGGGTTCGATATAAAGAATGTAAGTAAAGTTTGTATTGACTATACAGAGGGCTTACTCTAAAAGTATAAAAAAGAAGAAGGTAACGAATGGAGTGGTTTGAAGCTACTAAATGATTTTATTAGCAATTTAATATTACTTAATGGGTTTTTATACGTATTTTTTTCAATTTGAATCAATTTGCGGTCAAAAATATTTACGTAAAACAAATTGACTATATTATATATCTTATATCTTCTTTTATACATAATAAGTTGAACTTAACGTTTAAAAAATATATAAACTTATTGTAAAACTTTTATTCAAATAATCGAAATAACTCTTTCAACATACCCAAAGTATATTACCTTCAAAACTTTATTTACAAATTAACTTTATTTTTTATTTTTACGAGTAAATATTAAATTAAATTTCTTAATCATGAACTCACAAAAGACCTTTCTAACACGTAGAACATTTGACAGATGAAACATTCGTAGAAATAAAGCAAAATATTACAAACAACAAAAAGAGACCAATCTAAAGGAATACAGCATTTGACATGTGAAACGGAACGTAACGGATGCTGTATTGGACCAATTTGTTCTAAATGTACAGACAAAGGTGCGATTTAAATAAATATATTTTGCTTCAATAAATATCATTTTATTTATAGCTAATGTGATGCATGCATGCGGTTTATATTTTCAAACTTCTATGATGTCATAAATAATTCATGTATACTAGCGACTTAAGGCAGTGGTAGCCCAGTGGTAACGCGCTTACTTGGGAAACCAAGTAAAGCGGGTTCAAACCTCGGGTCTCA